CGTATCCCCGTATCATTGAAAAATAATAGTTACCCATTCTCCTTTTAAACTACTCAAATAATTACGTCATTTTAATGACTGCGTATCCCCGTATCCCCCAAAAGCAAACACTATCAAAATTCAAAAGTGGCCGGGTATTCTATAATCGCTCCGAAACCAGACAGGTATGTTTATCTTTGTTTTATTATGTTAACAAACGGTATATTTTAATTTTAATCGATATACAGCTGCGTGTGGATATAAAACTTTGCTAAGTCATGGAAAACGAAACTATAACAATACTAATTGACCATTAGTAAAGTTGTGTTTGACGACTGTATTACTAAGAATAAAAAATTCACTTACCTACGACGAAGCCCAAGGAAACTGTAACCAGAGCTATATATACACATTTCATTACTGACGCTGGATATTTACTAAACATATTCCTCAAAACAGGAATATTCTCTAGATAAACAGTAAATAGTTCCATTAACTGTGGTGTGGGCAAGCCAGTGGTAACTGAATGCCAATTTTGGTCTGTCTTGTGAGATAAACGTCATTAAATGGACCAATTAGAACGCAGCAAAGGTAAACGGGTTTAATGCGCGAGTGACTAAATACTTTGAAAACGCCAATCACCATCCTGTTTTCTTTACACCTTCCGAAATCTTAATACGGAGATATTTTGAAGTAAAAATTGTTGCAAATTATGCGCAAATTATGAGCATTCAATTTGCCAAGCTAGTTTGTCCGCAACATTCTTCGGAAGATTAATATTTTATTAAATTAGGAAATTATTGAAAGCGGGGTTTCATCCTAGTTAAAAATCAACACTAGGTAAATCCATCAGTCTATGACCTTTTTAACGACAAAAACAATGCAGTATTAATCGCCATTCTGTGAAACCTGAAGATGTTTACATATATTTGTTTTTGTATATGATCATCATCTATTAAAAGAACTGCATGTTTAATGGCGAGGTTTAATGCTGTACTTGATGAGGAGAAAATGCAGACGTTTCTGTTTTGTTAATCTCATCATTGCAAATATTTCTGAAAGACTTAATCAGATCACTGGGATTTCAAGATTATACTTGCGCATGACAGTAGGAATTCATGCCTTCAGCTGCCATAACGATTACTAATTTCTACTATTCTCTGATATCTTTGTTGAATATTTTCCTTGTTCTTCTAATGACTTGCGAAAGCGCACATTATTGCAGTCAATAAAAGAATAGTTCGAAAGGACTATAAAAATAAAGATAATATATGATTGTTTATTTTATCTTAATCTTCATCACACACACACATTCTAATGCGATTACAGCATGCCAGAATTCATGACTATATATGCATAAACTTTACATTTGGCTATTATGCCAAAACCTATGATCAGTGGACCTACTTGGGATGTTCCGGATTGCGTCAAGAAGTGAAAAATATGAAGACCCTGTAAAGAATAAGATGAAGAAAATCAAACTGTAAATAAAGCAAATATTGCAATAGATCTATTGTGTTGCATGATTCCATTAATGCATGTTTCCGCTATCATGCATGTTCTTTAAGATTTGGCTGAAATGTTTCAGACACGTCATAGACTGACCGGCGGAGTCCTGCAAATTATATAATTATGGTCGATTTCAACTCGCTCGAGAAAATGCGTGAATTCTCCTTCTTTCTAGTACTGCAGGCATGTGCATGGGTAAATGGCAACAGGCAACTTTCTTCGACTAATGTTTAGTCTTTCTGTAACTGTTGTGTTCACCATTCTTATGTATTTGTTCATTACACAGGAGCAACACTGAAGCACGATGGGACTAACCCGCCATATCAGTAGTTTTGACAAAGATTGCAAACTGAAAATAAAACTAAATAAATACATTTTGTTCTGAAACTATACATGAAGTAGATTTCTAGAAGCGGTCCATACGTGCGCAGACACTGTAGTTGTCACGGAAGTATGCTCAGTTCCTTTTAACAGTCATGCGAGTCCATTGTAGATCAGTAATATTTGTCTGCATCTTGTGCTGAAACTACCCAAAGGAATTAAGATTAAAAATTGGAAGATGCGTTATAAGTTAAAACTGGGTCATAAGTTACTTCATTACTGTATCTGACATTTCCGGTAAACAATTTGTCCAGACAAATGACAACAGTGACTACTTTGCAGGGCCGTATTAACCACGTGGCAGATGCGGCATATGCCGCGGGCCTCGCGCTTACGGGGGCCTCGCGCTTTACTGTGCCACGCCCATTTTTACGAGAACACGCCTATTTTCTATTTGGATACGCCCATTTTAGGTGCCTCGCGAATTAGGGACATCGCGCATTTAGGGCCCCTAGGATTGGCAGTTTACCCCAAGAAAATATACAATACTCGTATGCATGTAATCTCCAGTTGCGCTGATCTGTTATATATGATCCTGTTTACACTTGTTGACCCAACAACTGGGCCAGGCAGGCAATTGTTTATAATTGATGCCAAACAATTGAAATATTGAAAGCAATTATTTAACAATTTTGTGTGTCTTTGAATTGCAAAGGTTTTCATAACGCGGGGGGGGTTGAGGGGCCTCGCGCTAAAATCTGCCGCGGGCCTCGCGCGACGTTAATCCGGCCCTGCTACTTTGGAGTTGCACAAGGGTCCATTTTAGGACGATATGACGCGACTGTGATAACCATAACTAAGTCATATATTCAAATGATAAACAAGACTATGGAAATCCTAGAACAATAGGCTACTGTTTCAAATCTATTACTAAAGTCAGGTTAGTCACTAGTCAGCCTGGTCAAACGAGGATGAGAGTTGCCGAGAGTTGGCAGTCGCGCATTGTTATGGGCGACATTTGAAGCTCTACATCAAAATAAAAGTTTGATGTTTTAACTTGAATAGAATACATGATAGTGTTGGGAAAGCATTTTGAATAGCAACCCAAGGTCGCGTTCTGGTCTCATGCCCTCACATTCTCGTTTGATCCAGGTTTAAATTAAAGGAAAACCAAACAAGCACTTGTAACGACTCAACAGATGTCAAGAGTACATGGCCTAGGTAAAGTTATCACCCAGAGGCCGCGGAAGCATTTCGAAAGTGGAGGGGCATTCGCCAAAAGGGGCACTTTTGTATATGATCAAAATCAAACGATTTTATGTCGTTCACGAACCGAACGAAAATTCAGTTTGAAAATATGGAGTCTCTATCACGTCGGAAATGGCCTTTATAGAGTCTTTACTACTGCAAAAAGGGCACTTTCTTTCCAGCAAAAGAGGGCGTTTATCAAGAAATACTTTTTTCGTTCTGTAAATGGGGCACTTTAGCCCAGAAAAAGGGCACTTTTTTCACTTTTAAAAAAGTGGGGGGCACATGCCCCCATTGCCCCCCTGGTTCCGCGGCCCCTGATACCACCTATTGTAGCTCGAACAGTCAAACCGAGGGCGCTTTTGCATGTTTTTAATGTTTTCAAATAAAGCCGAACAAATCACCAGCGGGTTATTTTGACTTACGTCTTCCAGTTGTATAGCCATTGAGTGAGTCAGAGGCAATTCGTAAAAAATAACCCATTGATGATTTTTCGGTAAAAAATTATTCAAAATATGCAAAAGCCGCTTCGGTTTGCCCGTTCGAGCTGTAAGAAAACAAACTTTACTATCGTATCAATTGCGAACGGACATGAAATTTGACTTATTTGACTTTGTCCGGAACAAAGTGGTCCGTAGCAGATGCCAGTTTATTTTTCTCGGCTTCTACCTCGTTCCAAGTCTCTCAGTCCAGGGCATTTTTTAACTATATAACTGGGGGGGAAAAAGCCCCCCCAGCCCCCATGGTGCCCCCCCCCACTCAACCATTTTGCCCCCCCCCAGTCAAAGTCCCTTTTCTCTAAAATATAAGCAAAACATGGAATTTAGAAGGGAGGTTTGATATTCTAGTAACTGAAATTTGCTTTGTGAATCTTATGTCCTGTCTTTTATCTTATTAGATTTTTTAACATTTTCCAGTGGATTGCATTTCCTAGTCCCTATAAATTTGAGTTGTTGGAAGGCTCGGCTAAACAAGTTAGTGACCGCAGGGGGCAACGGGCCCAAACCCAGTGTTTTATAAGAGGGGGACAATTTTGGCCCCCCACCAAAAAAAAACCCAATTGATTTCGAAACTAGAAGTATTTGAAATCGTATATATATAATCAAATATATGTATTTTGATAACAACATTTCTCGTAATAATCCATCCTGACTCGCGGATACTATAGACTCACAAATCATAATGAACGAAGTAATGAAAGGGCCTAACAAAAGAGGTAGAGAAGATTTTGAAAATGCCATTTCCGACGATTTAGAGATGCAAAATTTTCAAAATTCTCCCGCTCTGTTCCAACCATGGTGGCGCTTCGTGGGAGTCGGGCCCTCTAAGTTTATCAAGCTGGTTCCCTGAGTAACCAAGTTGTGGTATCTACATAAACACAGGGGTCATCCTAAGGCCTCCCATTCTCCAAAATGGGTTGTTCTAAATGTAAAATGGGTAATTCTAAAACTTAAAATGGGCAGTTCTAAAATCCAGTTTTTGAGCTTTATATGAAAATTAATTAACATTAAGCACGCATACAGATATTTAAGGCAAAAATAAATCCAGCTTTTACTCTGAAAATGCATAAAATGACCATTCTGGACTTTTAAAATTCAAAATTTTCCAAGGGAGCATTGCCCCAGGACCCTCCTAGCTATTGAGGTATCCAATACGCCACGGCAAAAATGTCTCATTGAAGGGGAGTTTGTGGCGCATTGATTAATGCATGAACCTTGTCTGCCACATAGTTAGCCTGTGTTCACTACCTCTGTTCTTGTCGAAATGGGCAGTTCTAAAATTTTCTTAGGATGACCCCTGCATAAACATACTATGCAAGTACATAACTGAAGGTTCAGTCTATCTACAGCATAATGTAATGCTGTATATCAAAAAATCTGTTTCAGAAAATGCAGGGAATTGCAGTCATAGGGATAGAAAAATACAAATATTTTCTGGGGGAGAATACCTCCAGACCCCCCCCCCCTCCCTACTATTAAATGCGATACCACACCAAACTTTTTGTTACCAACAAAACATCTATCATTTCTCCACAATCGGTATAGTATGGTCCTTTTTTGTAGATGCCCCCCCCCCCCACACTAACAAATTCTTAAAAAATGCCCTGAGGATACCAGATGGTGGATTTGAATCAGAAATGTACGAATATCGTTGGATGCTATCTATATCATGCGGTTTTACTCGCATCAGTCATCCAGAAAAGAACTGCCCACAGGTTTGAACGAATCGGGAGGAACTGACTGATGTGATACAGCAAACGTTTGACAGTTTTCACACGTGGATGTGATAGAACGTTTAGACAGATTCGCACATCAGACACAAAATGTCAAAATCAAACTTTTCTGACCATTGGCTTACAACCCAATTAGAAGGCAAGAAAGGGACAGTGTTTTTGCATCAAATTGTATGGCAACGGTTTATTGAAAGATCGCAATATAGCTTTACCAGTATATTATAACTTAGTAACAGTGGCCTTGGGGGCACACTTTCGTTATTATAAATACTTAATTTACTGCACTACATTCTGAACACAGGCGAGAATTCAAGAATTTTGACACATTTCTGATTCAAATCCGCCATCTTGAATTTTGAGTAAAAACTCTGTAAATGTATCTATTTTTCTAATCCTTGACTTGAAATCACAAATTTTGTTGAGACTTTCTTTATTTATGGTGGCAAAAACCAGGATATACCGTTTTTATGGGGGGGGTCTACTTTTTTTTCCACCCCTGTATAAAGAATTTTAACACTGGAATGTAAATGATTTTAAAATTTAATAGTAGTTTTGATATTTATAGAGACAGCCTTTAAGCCTTAGTAGCCGTGGTCACACAGTTATGCTGCTTCTGAATACCAATATACCTAAAATTCCCAGCTGTATGTGCCGTCTTAAATAAATATGCCATATAAGGGGATTCCTTTTTCCCCCTGGGAGGGATGCGGAAGCCACTGCTGTGGGAGGAAGGGTCAACTGGGGGGATAGTGAATCAAGAGTCAAAGTAAATTATAGAATAAGAAATAGGAGAGATGACCTTTTTGTTGTTTTTGGCAAACATACAGTAATTGTACTGAAGTATTATTATGGTGGCATCATTAATTCTTAATTAACTAATCAACATATCTTACTTAATATATGAGCCATTTCATTAACATTTTTTAAAGAAATATGTGTGCGATTACCCCTCAGGGAGGGGTAGTAGGCAAATCCATGGAACAGCGGCATTCTCGTACCCAGAGCCCTTCTTACGAGCGGTCATCGTCGCACTGCGCGTAAGAAGGGCTCTGGGTACGAGAATGGGAACAGCGGCATCTCTCTAAATTTAAAATCTGCGACCACTTGTTGTGCTGGGGAACCATACAGGGGTAATAGGGTTAGAGTTTTGGTCATGTCTTTCATGCTCAGGCCTGGCTAAGGTGGAGATATATTGATACCAAAAGCATTTTACCTTTCAGTATCTGTTATTTTATTTTATTCTCGAAATAGGTCGAAATATGAATAAATACCTTAATGTAATCCCATATTTATTGAAGAATACTGGGAATCATAGGTAATTAAATTGGTATTATATTGGTATTGGTATCATATATTGGTTTTTGTATTATTGGTATTAAATTGGTATTCAGAACCAGTACAATTGCAGCCAGTGTTTATTAACATATCCTTGTAACCCATATATTTGTATAAAGTGTACAACATTCTATTATCACTTGATTACACATATCAGTGGTTAAAAAGTTTTAGCGTATCGCACCAAGATACGAAATTAGACCCGGACAACAACAGTCTGCTTCGGTGGTTATATACTTGATGCAAAATTACAAACTGAAGGTAAACATTATATTACGAACTCATTACTGTCGTGCGTTATTTTGTATATTAATAAGGGTGGACACTGCAAAAACTACAATATGCTGTTGAAAAGCAATTATTACTCAGGGTGCGATAATTCTCGTACTTAAGTACCACGTACGTACACGGAACTCTTGCTATCTGCGTATTTACATTTTCCTTGTACCATATGAGCTTTCCAAGACCCGTAGTTACTAAAACAAGGAATCACCTTTTCAAAATTATAGTAATTTGGTCGGTAAATGTGCATAAAGTCCGACATGATTAGAATGAAAAATTATTACTCGTAGTTCTAGGTTACTGAATATCTTTCAGAAACCTGCACTTTATGCACTTCATTTTAAACACTAAGTACACCTTGAGTCTTTGTTTGCTCAAGTGCGCGACAATGATCATTGGGAGTACCAGTCAGGTACGACTACAAATCTTGAATGATTACATTTTAAAATACATTCATTAATATATGTACGAATAACTCATGTTCATGCAAGGTATGCTCAGATGAACGTTACAAACGCATGATTCAAACGCGAACATTTCATGTTGCGAATACAAAGTTAACTTGCATGGATTAGCCTAATAATAGTTTTCGTTTTGTTATGAATTCTTAAAATGCTTCTTGTAATCCAGAAACGTTTGATTGTGGAGTTATACTAATTCTTACGTTGTAATTCTAGTTCTGTAATTTTTAAACTACATTATATTATTATTATATTTATTGTTGGCCACTGGAAAATTACGAGAAAAAGACGTCCCAGCTTTCAGCAAAAATGATCCAGTACTTCTATAAAGACAGCAAAATATTCACCAGGACGTCTACCTGAGTAAAGAAATAGACTAAGTTAGCTTCCCATTTTCTCGGTGGGAATGCCAGGTGAATGTCTGCCTCGTACTACGTACCCCAAGGGTAAGGGCACGCAAATTAATCCACGCGGCCTCACGCAAAGGTCACGCAGCAACGACACAAGCCACGGTGTGTGCGTGTGTTTTCTGTACATAGAATATGACATAGAATGGAATAGAATATGACATATAGGACATAGAATGCCTTAAACTTCAATTATGCAACAATGCTTAGTTCGTACCGTTACATTTACTGACCAGTAATTTGTTAATTACGCAAATTTGTCAAATTCATGGTAGCTTCCGAAGGTTTTTGTTTGTTTTAAATTATCTGTTCGGTGACATTAGTAAAACACATATTGGATTCATCTGTGCTCACTATTAGAGAGGGTTCAGATTTTAACCACCGTTACCAATGACTAATCAGGTGCATTTAATCTACCAAACTAACCAATCAAATGCGTATTAATCCTGCGAGAGGTAGCGGTAGAGGAAGTCAAATCTGGACTTGTCGAATTACCACATTAGATCTCGGCCTACAGCCTCACCAACGATTAGGTTCTCAATGAAAAATGTTGCAATACTGAATTCAGAGGAAAACAGAATGGTAATAGATAATAACTATACAATACTTAAACCCAGAATGAAATATACTAACCTGACATATCGTGTGGGCTTCAGTCTGCATCAGGCCCTGCGCGACGGTTTATCACGGGGAAAAACTCCTTCAAGGAAGGGCGTGTTTTCCAGTCAGGATGCTTTCTGATGATTTGATGCACAACAAGCGGGAGGGTTGGAAATTTTTGCAGGAAATATTCATCAAGAGAAGTAGCCTTTCCCATAGCTTTCAATTGTGGAGGTGGCCGTTTGTCGCCCCAATGCTGACGGACATTTCTTATGAATCGAAGACAATGCGTGTAACGGCTGCCATCAAAACTGGACGGGGGGGTATGACCTCCTGCACAAAATGTGTTGAGGTCATCTGGGTCGATGACTGCTTTCCAGTCATTTAGTAACAATGAGCTTCGAGGTTTTGATGGATCACGGTTGTCTAGCTCTCCCGAAACAGCACAGTTGGGATCCCCTTTGAAACTCTTTATTTCACGCTCGTTCCCTAAAGCTTCTAAAAACTTCATCTGGTCTTCGGATGAGAGAAAGTAAGGGTGCTTTAAGGCTTGCTCCACATATGGTCGTTCATCTAGCTCCTGAGCCAACATTTGAGAAAGCAGGTCTTTGGCCACAGGATCACTGAGCTTGCTTAAACTCACTGGGTTGCCATCATGTAAATTTATCAGTTGGTGTATTGGAGCACCAAATGGATGCTTTCCTTTGGTCAAGATGTAAAATGCTATCATACCTGCCACTTGGATATCTGATTTCTCTTTCCACTTGAGTTGTACTGGTTCATCTGAAGGGTCCCGCACCTCATCAGAATACAAACCATCCCAGTCAATACATTCATATGCAATCCAACCTTTTGATCCACGTTCGCTACTGGTATAGTATGCAGTTGCACCTGTAAAGAATAAGAATATTATTAATTCGCGTGTGTTAAAATGCATGGGCGTACCGGAAAGAAAAATTTAGGGGGGCGGAAAGAAATTTGCCCGACTTTTCCGGATTTTGCCCGACAAAACCAAAAAAATTTCGGTCAGTGTACCATTTTAGGGGTCAAAAATTTTTTCCGGACATACCAAATTTTTTCGGAACCTAACAAAAATTTTTGAAACATCACAAAATTTACAGAATTTGTCCCATTTCTTTTATAATAAACCAAAATTGCCCGACTGTTCAGCGAATATTGCCCGACTGCCCAACAAACTGAAACTGCCGCCCCGCCCGGTACGCCCATGTTAAAATGTTTTCTGGAAAAGTTATAACAAAAAATGTCTCGTGTTGGACAGTAAAATCTAAAGATCATCGAGCAAATAATTTTGTTGTCAACGCCTTGCCTCTGCCTTACTATACATTTGTTTCCGAACATTTAGTAGAAATCTTCACGTTGTTGTACAAGTTGTGCCGATTTCTCTAAACCCATAGAGGCCTGCGGAGGAAGCTAGAATGAGATAGCCAAACTTTTGTTTAATTCGCACTACACAGTCTATATGCAGGCTTTAAATAGTACTTAAATTTTTACATATATCTTATATTTAATGTTGAACGAGAATGCGACAGATTATTATAAACTTAATTGTTTTTGTTTGTGGAAACACCACGTAAATTTATTACTGCAAAGCTTTCGATCCGTAAGCCCGGATCTTCATCAGTGCTAATAATATCACAGAATAGATACCGGACCAGAAGGGACACTCCTATGTGTTTTGACTGAAGGAAAACGTCCGAAATTTTTTTACGTGCAATGACGCCATCCTGGAGTGCACACGGCACTTTGTACCTATGTTTTCCTATGAAAAATTTCCGTGTGCACTCCAGGATGGCGTCATATGATGGCGTATTTTCACGTCAGCACTCGTAAAATTTCGGACAAAATATCGTCTGAGTGACACTTATTTATTTTATTTAACAACTTTATTGGTGCCATAAATTACTTTAAAATAATTAGTTCAATATCAACTGGCCCAAAAGGGAAGGTGCGAACGAGGCTATATAGAAGTCCCATGCAAGGCACCTCCCTTCTCTAATAAGTAATAACAGATATTTATAAATACATATATATTATAAAACTGTGAAAACAATGAAAGTAGCAAAACGGTCAAACAAGAGCGAATGATGATTTGGAGATCAAGCTAGTCAAACTCTCTTGCATGGAGTGATTAGTTAAAGATGACGCACGAAACATCATCATTCATTCCTATTTGGACGCTTTACTTCTAAATAATTGGTTTACTCTATGACCTATGGCAAGAGCAGTCCCGCACCAGACTCCATGTGCACGTCATGTCCACGTCAAAGGTTCTGTTCAGCTCTAAACTAAATGTGTTTTTAGCCAACGTTTTAAACGCCGATAAGCTGGAAA